TTGAGAACAAAAACAGGTAAAGCAGGAAGGACTCAAACAAAAAGGGTACACGACCCAAGCATAACGAGACACGCTCGGAAGAGACTTAAAACAAAGGTTGAGGTAAACAAAACAAAAGACACAACATACAGACGCGTTAACGAAGACGGGGGACCTCAGATCACGAGGAGCCAGTTTCTATGGGTATTGTTTCCCACCCTTTTCTCATTTGTGATTCTCACATCACTCTGGCACTCAAGCTCGGTTTTTTTCTCAAAACCCTTTTTGCTCGCTCTTTCTCTCAACTTACACCTCTCTATTCTTTATTCTCTCATTTTTATCCCTCCCCAGGATTTTTAATGGATGAATAGGAAGTTGTGGGTTCACGCCCGACATGGTTAGCTCATGATTGTTTCTTCTGGTGGCGTTTGGTCGATGCCCCAGGTAAAGGGAACGGAGTACCTTGATCCCTTCAGATTCGTGCTTCGCACTTGGTTTCATACCTCGTTGCTCGGAGGTTAAGAGAGCTTTCAGCCCTTTAACGGCAGCTTTAGTTGTGCCCTTTCTTGGCAAGTATGTTGGCGATGTGGGAAAGACAGGAAGCCCAACTCAACTGTGCCCCCTAGTTCATCATTTTGACCATTTTTTGTTTTGGTTTTCTACTGAAACAATTTTGACCAAGACGAGAGTCAGATTAACACACTTGTTCGATTTTTGATTTGAAAACCATGCAAGTCAGGCTATGAGCACTGAAAATTTTCCTTTTTTGGATCCAAGAAAATGGTCCAGTTTTGAAAAAATGAAATAGTTTTCGAGAAAATAGTCAACCTCAGTAAAAATTTTCAAAAATTATTTTTGCAAACAGTTAATGCTCAGCAAGCACGGAACTTGCTCTCGAGATACGCAACCTCGGATCGGAGGCAATAGAAAATTGCCCCTTGTTTGAAGGACGCTGCACGGCAACGGAAAGTTGCCCTACGTATCCCAAACATGGGAATCAAGCCTTACGTAGTTTCGGTTAAGGTACACTCGGGTATTTTAACCTTCACCTTTTAGGCTCTAACTTTGCCAAGGCGCCCGATGCAGGTTTTCGACCTTGCGAGCTTTTCTTTCCTTTTTCTTTCTTCCCTTTCTTTTTTTTCTCTTTTGTATATTATTATTATTTCTTTTTTTGTATTTTTTTATTTTTTTATTTTTTTTCTTCTTTTTTCTTCTTTTTTTTGTATATGTTTTCTTTTGCTCTAACTTTTGCCTGGGTCGCCCTTCGGGTTTTTGGCCCAGCGAGCCGCTCAAAGGGTAAAAGTGTAACAAGTCCATGCCAAATGGTTTTAGGGTTTTGAAGCCATCTGTATCCAGGAGAGTGGCTGTTGCATTGACTTACTGAAGGACCCATCTTCGGCTCTTCGAGTAAATCGGACATTTTTGCCCCTAGTTTGGAGGGGTGCTTCTGTTCTAGCTTTACAGGCTTCTTCTGATGAGATCTAATCTTCTTGATCTGACTATGGTGCCTCTTGTTTGAGGGCTGCTTCCAATCTGGACACACAGGCCTCTCTTGATGGTCGATCGTTGAACATTTCGAATTGTGGTTCAAGGTTTTAAAGCAAGGGCTCGAGTCTTGAGGCTGAGAGCGATCCTAAGCTGCACAATCTCAAGAGTGATCCCACATAGGTCTTCGCAGGACCGCGCAAAACATTTTATTTTTGAAAGTTTTTAAAGAAGCGACAAATCGCTCGTGCTGAAGATAGTGTGGAACCAGTCTGGATCAAGCCAGGGTCCTTCTCAGTACTTACACTGACAAGCGTGATTTCAATCATTAAGGGCTTAGCACGCCTCTCTTTCTCTCAATTTGATCAAAGTTTGCAAAACCCGAGGAATTCCTTCCTCTTTGTTTTCACCGCAGTGTTCAAAAAGTTTTGAAAAACTTAGGTCAATGCAATGATTTTTAGGGCACAAGAGAACAGGTGGAAAGTACTGCTGTTCCATTCAAGTCCCCTGGCACAACTAATTCAGAATAGTAGTAAGCATGGAAACATGATAGCCGTAGATGTTTCATTCAGATTCCCTGGTTGCAACTGGCTCCACAACAGAGACAGACTCAAAAGAAAGCAAAATGGTAATTACAAAACAAAACGGTGTTCGAGGCAACAACCCCGGAATCACCGGACATTCTATACAAAGGGGACTGACTCGCTACAACAAGACAGACCCATAAGGAAAAGGACTGACTCAAGACAATGAGACAGACTCAATACATAACAAAAGACTGACTCGACACCCAAGCCAGAATTTACAGAACTAGCATTCGCAGATGCTCCAAAAATGCGTGCCAGACGCCACATCCAAAATACGCCGAGCTCCGCCCGCAGGTGGTTCACTTCCTGATTACATACTCGCCGTATCCGTATCCTCAAAATTCAATAACTGGGTAGTAATGGGCTTGGTTGAGGTGGGCGGGACGATAACTTCGTTGTCGATCCAACCTTGCACCTCATTACAAAGGCGAAAACAATTGTCGGTAGCATGACCGGTTTGCTGGTGGTATGCACAGTACAAGGCAGCATCATGTGTAGTAGGGAGATTCTTGGGGAGAGGCCGAGGCTCCAAGGGTTTACGATGCCCCCTTTCGGCAAGGATCTAAAGTGCTTTTGACAATGGCATATAGAGAGCGTGAAAGACCCTGCGCCCTCGGGGCAGGTACTTTGAATGTTGAGTATTCTTGCTAGACGCACTAGCGAAATGGTCGGCAGGCGCCGCTTTGGATTTTTGATCTTTCCCAGGCGCAGGGTTGGGAGTGGAAGGAACTATTCTAGCATGACGGGGCCTATCCCGATTTTCTAACTGGCTTGTACTGCCTTCGGTTGGAGTGGGGAAAACATCATCCACAGCCTTAGCTACGACTGCGAATACCTGTTGTTTACTCATCCTCTCGGCTTTCAAAGCCTTGACTGCCCACAATAGTTGTTCAATGGGATCGGCATCTGCCTTCATTTTGCTCTTGCCTCTGGCCTCACCCTGATCGAGCGTTTGGGTTGATGTTGATACGTCATTGTTATAGTTGGAGGCCACCTCGGGTTGGCTAAGTTCGATCACAATCCGTCCCAACAGTGGGGGCTGCTGTGGTACAAAATTCCCAGCATACGGTGCGGCTAGTGGCGAAGCTGACATTCCGTAAGTGAGATCCACCACGGACCTCTGGAGGTCACCTATCATTCCCATCAATTCGAATGTGGTGGGCTCACGAGCCTGATACAACTGGGGGGTCTAGATCGGGTGCGCGACAGGCGACCTGGGTGGATGCGGTACATCGACATTGGTCTCGCTTTGCAGAGTGATTCCTTGATCTAATGCAGCCGTCATAACCACAATCTCCTCTGAATTCTACATCAAGATAAGTCCGTTGTACTGAACGGTGACTGACAGATCAAATATCTGTCTTGCCTCAGCAAGGGGGAACACTAGCTATTCGGTATCAACTCTCTGAACCTGAAAGGGAAAACAAGCAGCGTTTTAGCCCAAATGGATCAAACACAGATGTAGCCGAACAACTGTACTCTACTGCTGACCATTGTTGTCCAAAATCACTGCCCCCAAAATACTGAATCGGATACCCACAGATATAACTGATTCTCATAAACTGATACTGGTGCCCTCAGGTCTGATACTCAAACTTGCAAACTGTTATGTACGTTCCCTGCAGAGATGCACTCTAAAAGCACATAGCAAGTAAAGAGAGCCAAAACACCCCTATGGAGGGGTAGGGTTTCCCTGTCCTATTTTACAACTTGGGGGTCCAGACCGGGTGCGCTTGTCGATGATCAGTTTTGATCCATACCATATGGCAAGTCCATAACTACTGAAAATGATTACTGTTGTTGAGTAGTAGCGGCATAGGCAATCTGCAGTTTGCTGTTGTACTTATTTATTGCTAGCTTCTCTCCGGTGAAGGATGCCACCTGTCATAAAGAGGGTCACAAAATTCAGGACTTAGAAAATTCAGGACAACAATTCATTACTACAAGTTTTGTGGTGCCTCACTGTTCTAATGCCTCCGACCGTTTGTTCAACAACATTTCCAGCCTCTGCATAAGCAACTTGTCCACGGCTAGACATTCTTGTCATGATTATGGCCATGCCTCCACCGGCAATGACTAGAGCGGGAATGCACGTAAGCAAGACTAATGAGAGAAGCCATCCTCTAGCAAAGGCAATGGCAAATCCTCCGATAAATGTTGACATCAGTTGTATGAACTTTCCTACCTGTCATAGCATTGCAAGTAATGAAATTATTATAGAAACTGACTTAGGTGCGTTAATTGATTGTACTTGGCAGCAAGTTTTGAAGAATGGAGTCTTCAGTAACCTTTTCACCCATAGCATCTTGGATGAGAATTGTATCGCCAGACATTCTACCAATGACCTCTCCGGTGGTAGTTTCAGTGTCGAAGAATGCAATGTCCTGTCTTAATATTGTTTTCAAGTACAATCGCCTTATGCGCTCTGCCTGCCTTTCCCCGGTAACTATCCAACCAGTCACCTCTGTAATGGATTTACAAGTAAATTAGTGTAAACATTCAATTTTCACAAGATTTAAAGCAATAGAGAACTCCAGATTAAGGCATGTTTTTTATTGTATCTTATTACTTGTTATATGAGGATTCATGCTCAAATCTTCAATGCACTAAAAGCAGTTTTGAGTCATCAGATGTTAGTATTACAAGACAACTCCACAGACTGCAATGGACAAGACTCAGTTACTATGCAACACAAATCTATTTTCCAGCAAGACTCCAAGTTCACACGAACTTTAGACTAAATCGATATTATGAATATACAATCAATTAGTTAACTGTCGACTGCTCTGTCATTGAGCTACTAAGGAATAACAGGAGGTTATATCTTATAGAATTCAATTCTTGTTCTAAATCTACCATCAATATGAACTCGAAGCTTTCTTTGCAGGTCCCAAATTTTTTTCATAGTGATTCTCTTCCGTATCTCATTTTATAAGGAGTATTTTACTTTATTATATTCCATCCATATTCCAATTTTATTCATTTAATATCCTTTGTATCTCCCATCTAAAAAACAAAATATCTGTAGTATTGTTTACGTGCCGCTTTTACTTATCTCTTTAGTCCCATTTGGTAGAGCTTAAAATCAGCTTATTTCAGCTTTTAGCTTAAATTAAGTAGTTTTTGAGTGTTCGGTCTAGCTTAAGTGATCAACTTTTAGCTTAAATTAAGTCAAAAAGGAGATTATTCTTTGAATGGCTCCGGAAGTGCTTTTCTGAAGCTGCTCAAGCGAGAAGCTAGAATTGAGGGGCAAAATGACTTAAATGCCCATCATCAATCTCAAATATTACTAAATGCCCACTATGTAAACAACAATATGACTCTTATATTGTTGAAAAGTTAACACGTAGCTTATGAATTGTAGAAATAAATTTATTTATTTATTATCTATATATATATATTAATGAATTGTAGATTCAAATGACACTAATATGACTCTTCCATTAACATTTTACTTAGATCTAAAACACCTTTGAGCTTTCACACCGCAAGTGTTAACACAGTTGCTATACTATAAAGTAGTAGGAAATTGCTTTTTTTATCTGATGTGCTAAAAAAGTAGTAGGAAAGTGTTTTTTTTATCTGATGTGCTAATGTTGTTAACACAACTGCTAACATTTGTGAATCCATTGTGATTAAAATATTGACTTTTCAACAAGAAAATAACCCAAAAATCAATTTAAATTATTTTATTCACTCCCTATATACACATTTATATATTCTAGTCTACCCCCACATTAATCTATCACTACTTTAACACATTTTAACATTTTTATTATAATATTTATATACTCACTAAATTAACAAATCTTTGACATACAAAATTAAGTTATATTTTTGTCACTTTATAGCACACTGAAAATTATTTTTACCACATCTATTGATAATGCTCAAATAGTCATGTTTCACTTAGGTTTTGGTGAGGCATTATTATTTAGTCTTTTTGAAACACCACGTTAATTGTGTGATCACTCAACTTTGAGTCATGTGTTTACATGACTCAAAATATAAGAGTTATAGTACAGATGTCAAGCAACAGTATTGGTCAAACCCACATCTACATGGTGTTATGGATTTGGCCAACTCTTTATCCTCCTGATTTTGTGGCAATCTTTGTACTCAAAGTTTAAAAAATAAAATTTTTTAATTAAAACATTAAGAGAGAGAGAGAGAGAGAGAGAGGTTGGGGCCACCCATCTACAAACTGTGTCACATCTGTCAAGACTCAAGAAAAAAACACACATACAGAAAGCCAATCAGTTTGTTTGATTTGAATTTTTAGGATTTATTTTTCAAAAAATTAAAATTTTTTATTTTTTATATATTTTTTTGTTTTTACTGAATTTTTTTAATATTATAAACACTTTTTTCTTTTAATTTTTAGATACACCTAATATAAGTACACTTAAAAAGTATAATATTTGTGAAAAGATCTTTAGAAAATTCACTAAATATGAAAATTACAAAAAATAAAAATAAAAAAAATATGAGAATTCAGTACATTTTTCATATTTTTATGTATTTATTAATTTGTTTACAAATATTTTACTTTTTAGATACATCTAAGTAAGGTGTATCTAAAAAAATATAAAAAAAATTACTTAAAATTTTAAAAATATTTATTAAAAACAAAAAAAAATAAAGAATAAAAAAATTTTAATTTTAAAAAAAATTAAATTTAAAAAATTGAAACTAAACGAAGCGAATGACAACCTGTGTATACCTCAAATAAATGGGGGTAGGAATAGACCCAACAAGCGAAATGTTTAAACAGATCATTATTTTCAAATAGATTTACATTTTTTAGGGTAAAAATAATTTTTAAAAATTAAAAAAATGATTTTAGTGTATTTATTTTTGTCAAATTAATTTACTTTTTTTAAAAAACTAATTCTAAAATTAAAAATGATCTTTTCAAATTCAATTCAAAGCGTAGAGAAATTTAACCAAATTAACCCAGTCACAATTTCCATTCTAAATCACTTGCCCGAACACAAAATTCAAGTTTATTTCAAAAAAATTCAGATAAGTTTGGTTTGCCTTAATTCAATATAAAAAATGTCTTTGATTTTGATTTTTTTATTTTTTAAGAGGGTGAAAAAAATGTCTTTAATTGAGCATAGTGTTATATGTATCAAACAATAGAATTGATTTATGTTATAATATGCGACACTTATTTATAAATTTCTCTTTATTCACTTATGTTTTATTGTAGTTGTTTGGGATATACTATATAAGTACACATTTTGATTTTTTGGTTAAAAAAGTAGAGAAAAAAATGTATGTTTAGGATAACTTTTTATACTTTTTATGAAAAGATGTGTAATAAAATATTGTAATAAAATTAAAATAACTATTTTATCCTTTTGACTTTTTGACTTTTGAGTAGTTGAATTCAAAGGATAAAATTATTATTTTACCCTAGTGGCTTCCCCAACAAGCTACCCTTGAATAGGATAGACTTTTTAACTTTTTTTAATAATTTTTTAACTTTTATAGTTTATCTCAAACAAGGCCTTAGTACAATTTATTTTTTTATATTTCAATAAGTCCTATGAGTAACACATTTACCAAAATATCCTTAATAATAAGAGGGTGAAACATGCATTAATATTCACATTGACAGTGTTAATATTTTGTGATGTGAATATTTGTACGTTACATTATAAAATATGAATGCTTACATTACCAAATTGTTAATACTTAAAAAAATATTTGTAAAGATAAAATTAACCCTAAAATATTTTAAATATGATAATTAAAATTTAATGAATCAAATGTTCAAATAATAAGATTTATTAAAATATAAAAATATATTATACACCAATTAAAATGCAAGACGATTTCTTAATAAATTCTCCTTACAATAATGATTTGATCTAACGGTAAGAAAATAATAAATATTCAATATTATTTTATATTTATCAAATGGATCCTGCTAAAGACAAACTCTCAATAGGTAAAAGAAAATATCAAAAAAGTTAAAATTTCAAAAAATCTTTAAACATTTATATATATATTTTTTATACATTTATAAACATTAACGTTCAATAAGCTGTCATTTACATTTTTCTTATATATGAATGGGTGTTTTGGAAAGTTGGTAAAAAGTTAATTTTTAATTTTTTACCAAGTTTTTTAATTTTTTGAAAAGTGATTCGGGAAGTTGATAAAAAACTCACTTTTGACTTTTTTGGTTTAATATTTGTTTATGGTGTCAAATCAAATTAAAATGACCAAAATACCCTTACCCAACATAAGAAAGTTACTTTTTTTACTTTTTTGTCATAGGTCCCAATTTGTAATTTCACATTTGCGTTTTTATGGCTTCCCAAAAGAATTTTGTTAGGTTTTTGGCCACTTACTTTTTTAGACCTTAGATAAAAAACGCTGCATTTTTCAAAACTTCCCAAAACGGCACATATATGTATATATATTATTGATAGGATTCAGCTAGTTCGAATTAGGATAGTTTGTTGGTTATTATAATTTTTAAGACAAAATTTACTTAGGAATACTCAAAATTGCTTTTCTATCAGCCTCCCTCCATTAAAATTAAATTTGACATTATTACAATAAATCGCTACATATAGCGATGATACACTATTAATAGGTTATACAATATTTTATCGTGATTGGACATCCTGTCGATCATCCGAACGGACATCCTGTCGAATGACCAGTTGCTACACCATTTTTTCATTTTAGAATATGAAATATAATATTTTATCATTTATTACCGGACATTCGGCCAGATGATCTAATGTGCACCATTTTTTATTTTATTTTATTTTTTTTGTTCAGGAATATGACAAGAACCTTCTAGAAGCAGTTTAGGCATGATTGTTTGCATAATCCAGCAGATGATAAAAATAAATATTTCATACAATTAAAATTTAATATGAAGAGTTTGATAGAGATGTACATACAAAAAATATTAGATAAAATAAAAGAAGTATTTTTTAAATTTTAATTTAGTTCAAAATTTATTGAACCTGGTGTGGATGCACTCTTCAATGATAAATATTTTAACTTGAAATAAGGGGTGTTTGGAATTAATTTTTTTTGTGAATTTTATTCTTTTACGAGATATATATATATATATATATATAAAAGTAGAAAGAATGCTTTGAGTTGGGAAGTGTTTGAGTGTATAAGGTGCATATCATATATATTTGCGTAAGTTCTTACAAATATATATAAGTTACCTTATAAATTTGCGTAAATTTTCACAGGTATATATAAGTTGTAATTTCTCAAATTTTTGCAGGTTAATTTGCGTATATTTATAAAAATTTACATAATTTTGTAAGATAACTTACGTATATTTATGAAAACTTACGCAAGTACATATGATATGTATTTGCATACTTAAGAATTGTCTTAATTTGTAGCAACTTTTTAATTTTTTAACTAAAATTTAAGGTTCAAACAATGCCTAAATAGATCATAAAGACTCTATATAAAAATTTATGAGTTATTT